ATTCAAATAACTAGCAAAAAAGTAGTGTAAGTATAGAATTGCAAACTATTTCCATTGGTCACATTCTTTGCTTTTCATTTCCGCCTTACTTCAACTAATTTCTTTTCCAGTTTTTCCAGCAATGTTTTTTTTTTTTTTTTTTTGGGGCTTCCGACATCTAGGTCATTTCAGCCCCAACTAAGTCTATATTCTATTTACCATTTCAAACACTACATTCATACAAATAAATACATTCATAGACTTAAATACATCCATACAGTACACTCATTCCGTTTGGTCGGTGGAGTACTTGATATTCCTCCACTGACCTGCACTTAAACTAAACTAGATTGGGGTCGATGGAGTACTTTTATAAATATTCCGCCATCGACCCCGAACACACACTCACTCGCTTTCATCGTTCGAGGGGCGATGATGACGTTATATTCACCCTCACCCCTCGCCATTCACGCTAATAAATACATGCACACAGACAAAACATATAGATACATAACACATAAGACATACTATATACAATTAAAAAAAACAATTTCCCCTAAAAAGCGGAACAGGGGACTCTGAAACTCGCTACCGTGCTCGAGGACTCTTCTTAAATCCGGCGGCATGCCTACACGCTCTCTGTATGGAGCCAAGGCATGACACGCCTCTATTATGTGGGACACATCGAGCAACCTTTCTCTGCATAAGGGGCACCTGCGCGGGCTTTGACCCAAAGCAATGTTATTATAGTAACTATAACCGATTCTTTCTTTTCTTTATCCAATTTGTAGCCTTTCTGTACCTGAGATTCTCCACAGGTTTGGATAAAATAACACAAATAACATAAAAACAGAAAGATAAACATGATAGTCTGGTAAGCATTCACTATTCGTGGTATTAAGGAACATCATTGGATATTTCTTTAGGTAATTTGAGATAAGCCCCTTCATTCACGCTAATAAATTACACTAACACCACAATTTATTCCCACTGCCTCTGAGTATTAGACATTCCTCTGGATAATTGGGGATAAGCCCTTCATTCTCGCTAATAAATTGTATTCGCACTACAATTTATTATATTAACTATTTACATCGGTCACTTTCTATGCTTTTGATTTCCGTCTTACTTGCGTGTTAATCCTACTAATTTCTTTCCCGGTTTATCAAGCTACGTTATTATAATAACTATAACCGATTATTTCTTTTCTTTATCCAATTGCTAGCCTTTCTTTACCTTAGATTCTCCACAAGTTTGGATTAAAATAACACAGAACAAAAACAGAAAGATAAAACATGACAGTCTGGTTAGCATTCATTACCCTAAAGTACTCGATATTCGTCGAGGTAATTAGAAACGATTCACGATAATAAATTACCTTTACCCTATCCCAGATTACTATATATTTCTTTAGGTAATTGAATATAAGCCCCTTCATTCACGCTAATAAATTACACTCACACCACAATTTATTCCCACTGCCCCTGAGTGGACATTCCTCTAGATAATTGGGGATAAGCTTTTCATTCACGCTAATAAATTCAGTTACATTGCAATATAGTTATACTACCCTAGAGTACTCGATATTCCGCGGAGTAATAGAGGATAAACCCCTCAGTCACGCAAATAAATTCATTCGATCTAATAAAGAAACTAATCATTGAACTAATCACCACACACTAATAAAGAACGTATATCTCATACATAATTGTTAATATTTAGTATATAGTTAAAATAAAATATTAAATTCAAAATTCAAATATGAACGAGCATATATAAAACACAAATAACTTGTTTTTTATGTTCGTCCTTTTTCAAAGAATGACCTGATCATTATTCAAACTTTTAATGAAAATCACCACTAAATTTATTTGTAAACTATTTATAAATGCTGTGCTCAGGGTTTACGTATGTTGGGGCATTTTAGAAAGACATAATACAATTAACAGATTATACAACACGGATTTCTGAGAGAAGGGGCAACAGATTAGTTCCAAGTCTGCGGACGACAATAATGACCTCCCCCGAGGGACCAGTTGAGTCAGTTGGGCATTTTGGATTTTCAATCCGCACGTTCTCATTGCAACTGATCGATATTCACCAAACTTATTAAACGAACGACGATATTTTCATAAAATATGCCCTACAAAGTTTAATAAATATATTAACGAGTTAGTGCACCTCTCTAAGTAATTTATACATTAGAGAAAAGGTTCAAACAGAAGTGTTGGGTTCGCCCAGGTCAAGTGTTGCCCGCCAAATAAGGGCATAATAAATAACGAGAAGGGCCAAGAGGGCGGCCCTGTTGCTAATTGAGTGGGAACCACTATATCATAGCTCCCAACGCCTACCGGTATAAATCTCTTTTTCTCCGTCCACAAATTGGATCCAACATTCGCTTAGTTTGTCACGGGGAAGATTATTTTCGGGACGATTTGTCCAACAGTTATCCCTTATCGATGAATATTTTACGAAGTAACGCGTATAACGAGTTGTATTTTATATAAGTATAACAACACTAACCATATACACTCCATCAATTAAAAAAAAAGTAAAATGTAATCATTAAAGCCAACCGAAATAAATAAATCAATTCGTATATATTTACTAGGTATGTGTTTTCACACAATGTATAAGAAAGAAATGATTCTGTTAAATACATTTTCGTAGTGAAAATTTATTTAAAGCCGCAATACAGCATTGACAAAATTTGATTATCGTGCTTAATTTTGATAAATCGCACATTATAACAATTTTCATATTTTAATGTATTGTTTGATCGTGTTTGTTTTCTGTGTATCCTGCAGATACTAAGTGTGCTACTGAGCTTGATCTTGATAAACTGGAAAATAAATGGGGTGAAAATAACCTATGGTGCTAGAATCATGGCGAAATAAAGGAGACTTGCTCAGTGCTTATTTTCGATACCATAAAGCCATTAAAAATCCTATTTATACGAGCAGTGCTGTAGAGGCGGTGCATCGTTAAATTTAAAAAAAGTTGTATAATTTTGTGACCTTATTGTAATTCTTAGATTAATCTAGTTCCAGAATAATGTGTTCTCACTCTCTCTCTCTCTTTCTCTCCCTCTCACTGTACATATATATATATATATATAATTGTTTTTG